CAAGCACTGCACGTCTACACGGTTTCAATTACTGAACAGAGCAGCGAGGCCTACTTCATTCGAGCTTGGGTAGAGAATCGCCGAGGTTGGAGCAGTCGAACTGTGGACATCGGCATGCTCGAAACTTCTGCTACCGACTTTTATGCGCGTGATATGCGGAATAACTCAATGGATATGCACTGGCAGATGAAACAACGCGTCCACTAAGTCACCACGGACCACGGCACCAAAGTATCCGCCGGAGCCGGAGTGTAGCAGACGCTCCTGCCGGCGACCGGCGCCGTATGTGCGTCGCCGTCAATATTTTGTGCGGCAGTAATCTGGCCAATCAGAGCACGCCGCTCCGCGGCAGATCTGGAATGGCCAGGTTTTGGAAATACGCTTCCCGGCTTGAGCGGCGTCGCCGTCGGCGTCGCCGTTGGCGTCGCCGTCGCCGTCGGCGTCGGCGTAACCAAGGTCATCCCAAGGTCACGTGACCCCAAGGTCACGTGACCCCCAAGGTCACGTGACCCCTCCCAAGGTCATCTCAAGGTCACGTGCTCCACGTGACCCCCTGAAGGTCACGTGACCCTCGAGGTCACGTGACCCCTTCCAAGGTCATCTCAAGGTCACGTGACCCCAAGATGACCCCACGTGACCCTTTGAAGGTCACGTGACCCCCAAGTCACGTGACCCCTCCGAGGTCACGTGACCCCCGAGGTCACGTGGTCGCCTCCCCAAGGTCACGTGACCCCCGAGGTCATCTCAAGGTCACGTGACCCCACGTGACCCCCAGGTCACGTGACCCCTCTGAGGTCACGTGACCCCCGAGGTCACGTGACCCCTCCAGGTCACGTGACCCCCAAGGTCACGTGGGGGTCACCTTTGGGGTCACGTGGCCTTGAGGTCACCCCCAGGTCACGCCTCCCCGAGGTCACGTGACCCCCTCCCCGAAGTCACGTGACACCCCCCCCCGGAGCATATTAAAGAATGAGGGGAGGAGGAGGAGAAGGGGGAGGGGTCTACCCTCCCCTCAGTACCCTTCACTCCTCCTCCTCAAGAGCTGCGCTCCAATTCGGCGTTACAGGGATTTGTAAACGGCTTTCACTTTTTGTGCATTTTCTTAATCTACGTTTACTCATCTGTTTATCGTCAATGTTTACTATCTCGAATTGCTTTTAGAACGACTAGGCTGCTGAAGAAAGAATTGTGCAGTTCTTTACATGCAAAGTGCCTGACTTCAGGGCTGACCGTACTGGAGGTTTTGCGGTACTTGATCCACAAGGAAAGTCCAGTGAAGACAACGCTGGAGCAGCGAATTGTGATAACTAATCTATCGAGCATCATCATCAAGCTGAACACGACTACATATATCGCATGCATCTGCATACATATCTACGCAGCCACCTACGGAAGTATAACTTTCTTCGGGCAGTTCTTTGGAACAGCAACGCAAGACTGATAATATCGAATAGACCATTTGCAGTACTCAAGGAATCATTGCAACAGTGACCTTTCAGCTCCCTGGCGATCGCTTATGTTCGACGAACTCCATGGTTACACAGTTTTTGAGCGTAATTCGAGGTCAACCTAAAGAAGCACCTGACATACCCCAAGAACCTGTCATATCACTTTTAAGATTGCTCGTCAACGTCATAATTTTTGGTACTACGAATGCGATCCACCCTTCAACCTGGCTGAGCTGCAGAAATCTTTTACAATAGTATCATTTTTGTGATTGTTGTTTGAGCAGGAATTGCTTAAAAGGTCGATAATTCACAACAACAAAAACCAGAATTTCGCTCGAAGTCCGCGGGGCTGTTTATAGCATTTTTTATTCCCTTTGTTACTTCATTTTGTTGTTGGGTCCGACTGTTCTCTTCTTTGTAACGATGCCGACCATGGCAACCGTTCCGGTCATACGATTGGCGTTTGTTTTGTCACGCGAAGGTACGGTTCGACCGATTAACGAATGAGTTTGTTAGAATGATGTCAGGAGGTTTAAAATGGCGGATCAAATACAAATAATAAATTCAAAGAAGCGCGCAGTTCCCCCTTGGCGCTCTATTCTTCCAGAGGCGAGCATCGCAGTGCCATGGCGTTTAAGTTGTGCCGCCGTCATAACGCCTTGCAAGACCCTCTTGAAGCAATCAATTTGCTTGCTTCAGGACATGGGCCTGCTTCTGGGTTCTCGTGCGTGCCCTGAGTGCGAAGCTGCGATGACGCTGCAAGTCCGCGCTAAATCTGCGGTTGGCTGCTCGTGGGGGTGCTGTGTGTGGATAACTCTTGAGGTGCCCAAGAGGAAGCCGGTCAAGTTTCAGTGCCGGGGCGAGGTCTCGGTACGGAGGGGTTCATTTTTCGAGGGATAGCACCTGACGCTTCCCCAACTCATGAAAATCATCTAACTCTGGTGCCAGAACCTACCGTGCGCCGTCATTCAGCGGGAGACTGACGTCGCAAGTAAGACAATAACTAATTGGGCAAGTTTTTGCCGGGAGGTCGTGGTAAATGCCGTCTTTACGCATTCAGAGATGATTGGTGGTGAAGGCGTGACTGTAGAACTAGACGAGAGTATGTTCGGGCGGCGAAAGTACAATCGCGGGTATTTAAGGCCTGGTCAGTAGGTTTTCGGTGGTGTGGAGTGCTGCAGCCGGTGCTGCTTTATTGTTCCCGTGGACACTCATGACGCTAAAACCCTGTAAGGGCTAATACCCGAGTGGGTCCGCCCTGGAACAAGAGTAATCACTGACTGTTGGGCTGGCTATCGCAGGCTTGCAGATGACGTTCGCCTCACGCACCAAACCGTCAGCCACAAGCTGCACTTTGTCGACTCGAACACTGGTGCGCACACCAATACGGTGGAGGGCACCTAGGCCCACGTCAAAAAATCTCTTCCATCTGGACGGCGCGAGAGCCACCATTTTACTCGTCACTTTGCAAAGTTCAAGCTTTGGAGGAGAGAAGGCGCGCGGAAAAACTGATGATTCCGGTCGTTCGTCGCCGCGGCCGCCAAAATCTACAGCTTCCACGCAGACAGGGACCTTCCCTATAGTGCGGAAAACGAGGATTCTGACGGCCCCGGTGACTTCGAGTGATCCGCTGCGCTGAGCCCGTCGCCCGCCTGCGCGCATAAAAACGACTTATGCGCCAGCCGCTTGTCAAGTGTTCGTTACGTCAGTTATAGGTTCTGGTAGCGGTCTAAACGGTCCTTTTTAGGGCCCCTATATTTTGCAAACGGAGCTGTGTTTTGAATGCGGCACCCCGTCTCTCTGTAAAACGTTCGCAGGAAAGACCCAGCAAAGGTATGTTGTCCCCAACTTGGAAATCGAGTGTTATGATTCAAATAAAAATTGTTCTTGCTTATTTCGCGCCTTTGGTCCCAATAAATGCCGCCGTTGTAGTCGTCCCGCGGTGCTGTTGCTTGCTCAATCGCCGTCGGCGTGTCTCAGCTTCCTTGTCTTTGCCATCGACGCACCGGCGGAGGCGGTTCAGCTGAGACACCGCGTTCGGCTTTGGCTAGCAGACGGCGTTCGTAAAATGGCGTCAGCTGTTGCCGGCTTCACGCGGTGGTACCGTGCGTGCTTCATTCATTCGGCGTTCGTTGCCATGGTGTCGGCGAGGAAGAACTTTATGTTGCGGAAGAACGCTGTGGTGCAGCGATACCAGGTGCGTTTTAAGTCCCTTCCCGCATGGTTTTCAATGGGCGGAATGCGAACAAAAAGAGTTCGAAATAAGGACTTACAAAAGGCTGCATTTCTTCAGTGCCTCATAATTTGACGATCCTTGCGCGAAAAGCATGGTTTAGACTATAGATTTGAGATAGTTTTTTTTACAGCAACATGGGTCTAAAGTATCAATGTGCCCATAAACCTTAGTGCTCATTAAACCCCACTTTCGTTTTCTCTTTGCGCCCACGTGCATGCGCCCGTAAGTACTCGTACATTAATTTCTATTCCAGTGGGAATCATCAAAACGTGCGTCATTATTAACGAACAGATACAGTGCATGTAGTTTAAAGTAGATACGGGCCCGCAGAAAAAAAAGAAGCGTTTTCGGAGAGATGACAAACGAGACAGGTGGTCTGAGGTGAGCCACGCTTTCTAGGTCAAAAACAACCACAGTCATCGCAGGTGTGATCTTGTTGCTGCGCTGTGCATCACGTGTTGCAGTTTTGGGTACTGTACATCCAGCGTTCTCGCCTTTAAATGCGTGTATCAACTCAAGCTTCTTTAAACACATTATCGCTGTTCTATCGGTGTCCGAACGTCGTGCTCAGGGACAGGTCGCAGTAATGTCGCAGCGAAAAACTTAAAATACGATTCCGTCTCAATTAGATTAAAGCGCCCTTACGCTGTTCACCGCACTCTTTTACGGCACCGAAATCGACAACCTAGGATGGCAGCCGGTATTCGAGAACGAGTGATTCACTCGCCATTTCCTGACTTTGACGTCGGAGCCTGTCATGCTTCCCAAATGCTCCAGGAATGCTTGATGAAGTGGTCGACCAAGGTAATTGCTGTAAGTATGGATCGGATGCGTTTCTTGTGTACGTATTACACCCACCGGCAATATGAAGGTAAACACCTTACCTGGTTTCTTGCCTGTTTTACGGCTCCCTAAGGCTATATTAACTCTCAATGGCTCAAATGGTGCGTGGCTTGGGGGTCTAAACTTTGCGTTCTAGCCCTCTTCTGAAACAGAGATTGTTCCATAACTTGCAGGAGCGTCAAAAACATGAAGAGGGCTGTTCACCTTCATATCGCTCACGGGTGTACAACTAGAAACACATTGTAGGTATCTCGAATTAAGAATAATTCGAGAATTTTTTTAAACACTGTAAACACCGGGACTTTCAGGTTACTTAAAAAAGGAACTTGTAAGGATCTGCCTCGTTTTCAAATATAGCGAATGGTCATTGTCAAATAGGTGTGGCTACAATTGTGAATAAGAAACATGACAGTTGGAAAAGATCAATTAGAACAAAAGGTTACGTGCACTTCACTTTTAGGCAAATGGCCAAGTACTGATTAATGCGGGGTTTGTTGAATGTCACCGGAGTTGATTTGATGCCGTCCTTTGTGTTCACCTGGGGGGAAGCCCTTTTACTTGTTACGTTCCAAGCTCCGTTCTATGATCTCACGGCTATGCTTCGTTTCAGCTTAAGTCATGGCGCAGCTGACGCTACAAGGTAGTTGAACCAATCAAGCAGCGGCAAACACGCAAGTCACTGATCCTTTTCCGTTTATAATTGAATCAGCGATGAGCTAAACATGCAAAAGCTTGACGAACACCATAATGGCCCGCTATTGAGGCTGTCTGATTGGTCCCTCCAGAGCGTAGCTTCGGCTGTGTCTGGACTGAATGTGAAACGAAGTGTAATGTCTCACCAATGAAAACTTAGATATGACTGCCTCTTATTCCATTATGCCAAAGGATATTACAGCCTTGTCTTTTTGCAAATGCTTTCATTCTAACGCTTCACCGGTTGACCTACCTTTTCTCCAACCGTCGTCTATTTTACAGCGCTCTGATCATCAATTCAAAATAGGCCTACCTCACTGAGAATCCTCAGCATACATTGGCTCCTTCATTCCTCGAACGTACTCACATTCGAGCCGCCTCCAAGCATTTTAGCTAACATAGTTTATGTAAAGTTTCATCGAATGATTTATTCTGTTAAAGCATATTTGGCTCAGATATTTCTGTTTTATTTCCAGCAGTGGTGCATTGTTGGCTTTGTTCTTGTGTGTGTGTGTTCTTGCTTATTCTGTTATTTTTAACCACACCCCTCTGTAATGTCCTCTGGGCCCTGAAGACACCTATATAAATAAATAAAAAAAAGTATTGAGTGCGATAAAACAGGGCTAATCATTACGCTACAGGCATGCATACACTGCATCCGACGACCCATGAATAGCGTCCCTTCAGTTTTCGCTGATAGTTCGTGCCGTCATCTCAACGGGCAAACACTGTCTGGAAACATGGAGGTAGGAAGAAGAGGACGTGACATACCGGCTCATACCGTTGGGGGCGTGTCCCTCCAGACCAGAAGTCTCCCCCGGCTACACCTCTGGTGGCGTCATGTCGCCTCCAGAAGCCTCCTACCTCCATGTCTGAAAACGACAGTTGAGTAAAGGAGAGGTATAGTATTTACGCTTTAGACACGCGCCAGATTACAGCCGTCATTGCTCACCTTCTTTTGCTTTACACAGATGTTGAGTCTGTGAAGCGAGCGTTGACGAGATTCCACAAAAGCCAATGCTTGGGAGAAGGACAAGGTAGAATCTAGAAATGGACATAACCGTCCCTGCTCTGGTCATGATGAAGTGAAGCAAACATGATAGGAGAAAACAAAAATTGAAGGTCGGTTATGGTGGCGCCCATGCACAGCTGCCGCAAAATGTCTATACTACTGAAGTAGAAAGCGCAACATAAATTAGGAATTCACTCGGAGGTTAGGCGAGCCAGGAAAAGAGTATCAAGCTCGAAGGCAAAATCGTGGCAAAGTGAAAGTTAGTTGTGCGAGATTTGTGTAATATAAATAAGATTACCTGACGCTTTAAGTAGACCGATGTAGACATGAAAGGTTTGAGGCCGAACCTATGCTGCGGCCTTTGCATTTTGCCAAAGCTGGTATATACCGAATCATTGATTCCAGGTTGAATCTCAGCAGACCCTTACCGCCAATGATCTCTTGACGAGAATACGAAGGTACGCTGTTGGGTTTCAGCAACATGGCTTGAAGCCTGGCTCAAGGGTATGCACCCATGTCCGAAACACAATCGATAATATAGCCGCAGGATTGGCGGTTGTATTCGCTGGAGGGACACTTGTAATGGCAAAGACCTCCTACGTTGCAAGTAAGTGTCAAGAAGTCACGAAAACGACATGAATGACTGTCGTAATTGTAAACTAACAACTAATGCAAGCCACACTTTTTAAATGTCCCTCTTTTTTTAGGGGAGTTAATATACACAATTCGAGACAGCGAATGTGATTACATCCTCACAGACAAAAATACAGCTCCAAATCTTCTGAAAATTACCATGCCGTCAACCATTAAGGTGAGTGTGGTCAAAATTTTACGTATATATTATTGGAATTATGATATTGGGAACAGAAACTTTGTGCACCTTAACGCGGGTGCTGTGAACTGCAGTGAATTCCAGCGACGAGACTATAATTTCGTTTGTTTGAGGACCCCTGTAGTCGAGCTTGATCCTTCGCACTACGAATTTCAGTGACAACCAGGTGACTTTTAATCTAACAAGGCTGTCCAATTGCTTTGAATATTCAATGATCAATTAGAAGCGTGCGACACCTAAAGGGGGCGCGCCTCTCCTCGTTGGCAGGCAGAGCCAAATATAGTGATCTGTTGGCAACTTCTTGGCAGCGACACAAACGACAGCGTCCACATTACTTACCATATTGAAGCGCTGCCCTCTCAGATTTTTTTTCGAGTGCACGCAAAGTCTTGGTTGTGGATGCGTCTAATCTGAGCAATGTTGCTTGATCTCCTACCAGAGTAAAGGTGTGGCACCTTAACCTTCATAAAAGTATCCACGTCCAGCGTTACTATGTGTATGCTCTCACATTATTTGACCCGCCGGGGTTGCTCAAAGCTCGGGTTCGATCGGTTACCGTGCAGTTTTTAGAGGAAACGAAGGCAACACGCAGCCATGTTTCTGTTAGTTTAAGTCCAAATACGTTGTTTCAAAGTGTTTAGGCTCTCGGTTGTACAAAAATCATTGCAAGACGACATTCACCAGGGCCAGGAATGGATGAAATACGAATGATAAGCATTATTTTTATTATCAGATTGATTTTCGCCCGCTGACAGACCAAGGAGACGTACTGGAAATAAACTGGTCGAGGCTGTTTTCGCCAGCGCATAGCTGGGATCGGTGTTATCAACGTGCAGGTCTTGGCACCCTTCCAATTGCACTAGGCACTGAATAAGTTAATGTAGAGTGACAACGTTCAAGTAACGTATCAAGAATTGAACAAAATATATTAATTATTTATGCAAAATGTTAGAAGGTGCGAGAGGCTGTTATGTTATTTTTTGCTCGGTTGTTTTTGACCTTTTATCTCTAATGCATTTATTATTTTGTAGCCTTACTACCTTAATACTTCACAAACATGCATTGCGCCCTGGTGTACGCATGACTAAAATTCGCTTAGTACTATTAATCTAGTTGAACAGAAATTGAGCGATTCTAATGTACGAGGTGAATCAATAGAAACTAAATAAAAAAACGATAATAATTGCTTTGGAGCTTTCTTTTATTACTCACGTGTGCACTGCTCGTCGTGACGTCATATAAACTGCCGATCAGAATAAGTGCTACACGCGTGCGTACCTATGGTCTTTATTTTTCTGAACTACCGTTGATCAAAATAAACATGTTTATAATGTCACGGGTGAAGACGACAGACAATGAATAATACACTAAAAATAAAGGTTTAATCGGCGAGCTGGTGTCAGAAACAAAACGAACGTACATAGATACAGAAAGCAGCAGCTAGCGTTGTCGGCGGCAGCAGCGAGCGACTGTGTGCAGACGTAACAGCTGGCTTTCATTAGAGTGAATCAGTGAATGAATCTGTAATATCATGCTCGGCTATTAATCTACTAAACTCATCGTCTCAGCTATTTGCCCTAGAATGTTCGGGTGTTAGCTAGGGCGAAACTGGCTAGGCAAGTTCATTCTGGCATCCTTATCTCTTGCAATAGTGGCCAAAGAAACACTAAACTTCTAGATGCAAAAAGAAGCATTTTTCCTCGTGTCATGCACGCGGCTTTACTCGAACCTATAAAAGTGCATCGCCTCGGTGCAACACGACACAAAACAAGGCAACTCAAAAGAAGCAGTAAAGATGAATAGTTATCGGGAAGGAAAAGAATCTACAGTCTCATGGAGTGTAGAATGGCTAGAATTGAACGTCGTGAAGTACCTGGAGTCGCGGTCGGCGCCTTCCTGACGACTCTGTTCCGTCTGGAAGCACCTCGTAATTCAGATCTCCGAGACGACGGAGCACAACGTACGGTCACGATTAGCGCTTCAAGAGGCTCTTGCTGAGGCTGCGGAGTTGTATCGGGGTCCACACCCGCACCCTGTTTCCCGGTTATGATGAACGTCACGTCAGCGGAGGTTGTACTGGCTGGCGTTGACACGTTGTTGGCCTTAAATCCGCTGCCGTGCTAGCTGGCGCGTCTCCTCTGGTCGTTGACTGATCACCAGGGCTAGAGTAGAGCATTGAGCATTGAGCATTGAGCATTAAGTAGAGCATAGACATCACTTTTCTTTCACGAACCAGCTATAGTGGTGTCACTCCGGTAGCTTCTTAAACTGCCGAGTTATAAGCAAACATGTCGTTCAGCAACACTTCGTCCCACGTCTTATGCTGCACGTCGACATATATGTAAATTTGTGGGCGGGGGTCTTGTTGAGCCTGAGTCATTCCGTGAGCCCTTTTGTCTGCGAGTGGTACTCTTTCTTTCGACGGTGGCTTCTGTGACTGAGTCGAAGAACCTCCCGAGTCAGCTGAACCGTAAATGCTGATATTGGCTTCTTAATCGGGACTTGAGGGGCGCCCTGATGGTAAACGATGTACTGAATGAAGAACTTGGCGACTTCCGGAACTTTTTCGAATAGGAGGGCTTTCGTCTTGGCGTGTCAGATAAGGTCATCCGTCGCAACGACTATTCGCCGATTTCACTGCGTCGACTTAGGGAATGGCCCGAGTAGATTCATTTCGATCTGCTGGAACGAGACGGTAGAGGTGCAATCGATTGCAACAGTCTTGCGAGCTTCGTTGGTGGTTCCTTGCGTCGTTGAAGTTCATGGCACGAGCTTGTGCTTTTGGGAGGTTGGGCCAGTAGTATTTTGCGGGTCGTGCCAGTGTCCCGCAGAAGTCAGAATGCCCTGTCATCGGGTCGTCGTAGGAGCTTTGAAGATATCCTGCCGGAGACCGGCTGGAATTACCTGGAGCCACGCTAAATTCTTGTCCTTGCAGTTCTCTTCGTAAATCACACCTTGTCTGACGTGAAAGCTTGCCAGGGCTCGTGAGAACACAGGTGAAACCATAGTTCCTCCTTCTTCCATATGTTCAATCAGTGCGCGCAGCTCAGGATCGTCTATTTGGAGTGCCACCATATCATCGATGTTGACCGCACCGAAAAAAAATCTCATCATCGTCTTTGGTGCCGGCGGGAGTTGAGTCGACGGGGTCCCGTGACCTATAGTAGCGTCCCTGTGCTTGAGGCCGGACTTGTACATCACGTACATGTCAAATTCTTGAAGTCGTCGGCTCCATCGGGCGAGGCATCCTGACGTATCCTTCATGTTCGCAAGCCAGCAGATCGGATGTTGGTGTGCAACCACTCCGAACGAACTTCCGTACAAGTAGGGACGAAACTTGGTTATCACCTAGACGACCGCAGTGTATTTCTTCTTTGTCGTGGAGTAATATCTCTCTGGAGCATCCGACTGTCATAGGCAATACCTCGTTCTGTGCCTTTCTCTATTTCTACCAGAACCGCGCGAAGTCTCATATTACTGGGGTCCCTGTGGACCTCACTTTCGGCATGCTGGTAAAAATGGCCGAATATCCAAGGCGTCTGGAGTCTATCAGCTCATCGAATACACGCTGTTACTCTTGTTTCCAGTGAAAATATACATTGTTTTTCGTAAGGTGGGTGACCGACGCAGAGATCTTTGCGAAAATCTCCTTCAAAATACATGTTCTAGGCGCACGGTCCGAGAAATATTCTCACCGCCTTCTTGTGCCATGTTTGTGAAAATTCAGCCACTATGCGTATCTTCTCTGAGTAGGAACAGACACCTTCGTTGCTTACGACGTGGCCTAAGGGCTACGGTTCTCTGTAAGCAGAACGACAATTCGAAGGCTTGAGCGTCCCTCCTGTGGTCTTGATGGCTTGGAACATGGCGCAGAGTCATCGCAGATTCTTTTTGAAGGGGCTTAAGAAGACCACGATGTCGTCAACTTAGACGAGACAACTCTGCCATTTCACACCCTCCAGCACACCATTTAGCACCCTCCATGGCATGCTGGAAAGTGGCTGGTGCCGTGCATGATCCGAAAGGCATCGCCTTTCACTCTAAGTGTCCACCGATCGTGACGAAGTCCGTCTTCTAACAATTACGCGCGCCGACTTCCATCTGCCAGTAGACACTCTTCAGGTCAATCGATCAGAAGTAACGGGCGCAGCGTAGTCTATCGAGTGCATCGTCGATGCATGAAAGCGGATATACGTCTCTTTTTGCCACAGCACTGAACCTTCTATATTCCACGCAGAGTCTCAGCGTTCCGTCCTTCTTGTTTACCAGCACGACGGGGGAGGACCAGGGACTGAGTAAAGGCTGAATGATGTCGTCCTCGAGCATCTCGTGAGCATGGTTTCGGATGATTTTTCGTTCTTTCACAGGTACACGGTATGGTGACTGGTGGATAGGAAGGGCCTGTTTATCCCTAACAATGGGAGGTGTGGTAATCTTCGTTTGGCGTTCCCTTGATGACGTGGCAAAAGATTCGCTGTCTTCAACGAGAAGATCAGTCAGTTGTCGTCGTTCATTGGCTGGGAGGGTCTCGTCGATCTCAAGTTCCAAACGCGGCGTACGCGTGTACAGCTTTGAAGGGGATTCTTCTGAGCTGGAGGCGATCACGTCTGAGTCGTGCATTCCCTCGACGTGGCCTACGACTGTGCCCTTTGTCAGGTCCGACGGTCCTTTTCGGAAGTTCAACACAAGAGCTTTGGTGCACCGGTCCTTGATCTTCGTTACGGCCCTGGAGATGCATCTCTCCTCTTCCCAGGAGTAGTTGAACTTTGCAGTCCAACAGAGCTTTACCGCACATAGCTATTTTGATCCCGACCGGCAGAAAGACACTTGACAGCGGTGGCCAGTTCAAATGGTCGGCAAGCACTCGTTCCGCGGCTTGCGTTTCATCGCGATCTTCCGACGTAGGAATAGTTTCTCGCAGTGTCAACCTGTTCTTTCCTAGGTCGATTACGGCACCGTATTGACAGAGGAAGTCCATTGCAAGTATGACGTCCCTTGCACAGTCTTTGAAAACGGCGAATTTCTATGGAAAGTTCTCCCCGTGGATGTCTATACGTGCAATGCACCTTTCCACTGGTGCGAGTAGACGTCCGCCTGCGGATCGTATTTGCATTCCGTTCCACGCTGTCATCACTTTCAGAAGGCGGCGGAGGAACTTCCCACTCAAAACGGAAGTCTGCTCCGGTGTCGACGACTGCCGTCGCGTCGTTGCCGTCGAGAATAAAGTCGACGGTTATTCGACACCGTAACAATAGGATCGCTCCAATCTGTCGCGTCGCTAGTGTAAGAGCCCTCCGACGTTTAAGGAGGATATTTGCGTCATAAGCCTTTGGCCCTACCACCTCCCAGTATCGCCGCGCGTAGCTTCCCGGCAAAGCAGGGGAGACAGGCTTTCACGGCAGGCCCTACAAAGAGGCGACTTGGGGCATCGCGCTGAAGGCAAGCTATTTATGCTTGCCGGGGAGACATCTCAGGAGATATCGAGCGGCGAAGGTAGTACTCGATTTTCCGACGTCGCTCCCCAAGGCATGGTCGAGGGTGATTGGGCGCAAACCCTAGCATGCCCAGCTTGCTCTAGGGGCATCGTCTCTAGTCAAAGTCAAGTCAAAAGTCAAAGTCTTTATTTTCTCTCCGTTTGGAGAGGGGAGGCAGAGAGAAAAGCAACTCAGTGTTGCTTGACGAGCCTCTGCCCCCCTCCCTACAGCAGCAGAAAAAAAATATGTACACGTACACAAACGCATACAAATTGACAATCTCTACACCAATAAAACGAAAATAAGTGAGCTAAATCCCCTCCGTACCGCGGCAGAGAGAGAAAAAATATATACACGTACACAAACTCATACAAATTCACAATTCCTACACCAAAAAAAAAAGTGAGGTAAATCGTACAATCGATTCATACTTTAACTATTCCAGAACGTGTTTAAGAAAATCCTTAACAAATACAGAAAGCACGTCCTTCCGAGTTCCACTTAAAATATGTATATCCAATTCACTGCAACAATTTAAAAGGCGCGGTAGTGCATATCTCAGCATTTGATCGCCGTAATTGGTCCTGGAGTGCGGTACTGCCCACGCATCTTCAGAACGAGTGTTGTAGAGCGTTTCCCTGAACTGAAGATTCGAGATCGATAAAAGTAAACGGTTGGTACAAAACGACTTTTTATAGGCAAGGGCTAATTTGTAACTATAGTGACTTGTAATTTGCACAATATTAAATATTTTAAACAATGGTTTCGTATGACTGTCATAGCTAGTATGACATATCGTACGAATCACTCTTCTGAAGAATATCCATTTGATTTATATTAGTCAAGGTCGTATTTCCCCATACCAAAAAGCAATAGTTATATTGAGCGTAGAAAATAGAGTTGTAAACGAGTATCATGGCCGAACTGGGAATCATATGGCGATATCTGTATATTATACCCACAGCCTCTAAACATGATGGCCGTCTCTGCAATTGTAGTAGAGCGGGCGTCGGTCGGCCGTTCGCCCGCTCCACTACAATGACGTTGGTTTTTGTTGGGGTTTGGTCGATCTGGGCGGGCCTAATGGACATGTTCTCCCTGGCACCAAGCTTACTGCGACGTTGGATTGTCCCTTCGAAATTGCGCCTGGTGTTGGCGGGCAGCATTGGGCGGTCATCGGGCCACGGCGGCGTAGCTCAGCGCCGGCTCTTCTCAGGCCAACATGGTGACGGAAACCCCTGGTTGGAGCGTCCGATGAACTTCGCAGACAGCCTCGGCGATGGAGAGGGAGGCCGGAGGACTTGCCGCAGGTAGCAACTCTCGGAGAGTTGCTGCCGGCGGACTCTGAACGACGTCGCTGATAACCTCACGGATGTCCCGGGTACTGTCGTCAATGTCGTTGCTAAGCAGCCTCGAGGCAACGACGGCCGGATATCGGTTGTAGTAGGAGGCGCGTGCTTGGAAGGCGCGTTCCAGGTTCGTTGCTTGCGTGAACAAAGATTCGACTGTTTCCGGATGGTTGCGGACGATGCCCCCAAAGTTGTCGTCTCCCACCACGCGCATGAATACCTGCAACTTCTTGTCGTCTGTGGCCTCTGAGTCGGCACGTGATCTCAGCCATCTTCAAAGAAGCTGGTGGCGCTTTTGTGCGGGGCTTGCATCCTCGTTCGAAAGAAGTCATCGGCTGCCTTCCGTCGGTGCTAACTGGAAAACATCCGCAAAGTTCTCCTTTCAGCTAGTTCCATGACATATATAAAGTTTGATGATTCTCGAACCAGTGTCGCGCTGTGCACTGGAGAGGAAAGTAGGCGTCTTGTAGACTCTGTTCAGGTGTCCACCCATTGTGCTGAGCCACCCGTTTGTACTGATTGATCCAGTTCTCGATGTTTTTGTAGATGTCACCGTGGAAGGAAGCAGGCGTCCGATATGCGATAGGCATAACGACAACGGAGGGAACGTTCGAAGGCGGCGGGGTCATTGTCTTGTCATTTGGCTTGGAATGAGGTACAACGCACCTCTGCCAGAAATGTCACAGATGAAGGCGACGAGATGCTGAAGAATGAACTGAAAATATTGCTTTAATGAGCGAACTTGCGTCAGGAACAAAATGGAAAGACACACGTCGAGAAAGCAGCAGCGAGCATCGACGGCGGCAGCAGGGAGAGACGGTGCGTCAACGTGACAGCTATCTATCTCGAGAATGAATTAGTGCATGAATCAGCAATGCCGCGCTCGGCCCCTTATCTACTAAACTCGCCATCTCGAAGATTCGACCTAGAATGTTTGCGAGTAAGTAACTGACTCGAGCCAAGGTTCGTCTGGCCGCCTTATCTCTTGCACTCATGCACGCGGCAATGTATTCGTCCTTATAATTTGCGAGTAACTCAAATTTTTCTTGCACTTGAAAAATTTCTCAGCCTTTTGACGGGCATGACAGACATCGTTCGTTAAGGTTTCTCGCCAACCCCATGGTTTCTTTTTATTTGGTGTGTGATGTACAAACAAGGACATGTGTGAATCAGCACAAAACGTTTCAGGCTTTATCTATGGGCGAATAAACAATCTTAGTAACCGATGTGTAGCAAATATTTCTCATATTATTCGCCATAAAAACGAAACTATTAAATAATTTCAGACACATTGGTTTGCCTGAAGGGATCTGTACAACCTTGGTTCCCAACCGTTGAGCCCGCACTCACGAACCCAACCTGCAACCGATTGGTAGCTTTTTTACTTCGCAGAAGCTGTTTTCTGTTGGAGGAGCACCCGGTTGCATTGACGTCCTCGAGTTCCAAGACTACTCGGAGGCTAGTCTGAAGCCCCACGTGCCTGCTGACACAACGGAGGAGGTCGTCGTGATGCTGTACACGTCAGGAACCACGGGCCTCCCAAAAGCCGTGCAAATGTCCCACAAAGCTTACGTCTCCTGCTACCGTGCTTTAATGTACGTTGTTTGTTGAACAAGTGTCTTTACTGCGATAGCTGTCACGGGCTCATGCCCCCGATTTCGCGGAGGCGTGAGCGTAAACATATTCAGTTTGCCCAAAAAACTTTGCAAAAATATTTACGTAAAGTGGGGTACGCACCCATTCAGTTTCCCCAATACATTCAAAGAAAACATTCACGTCACGTGACCTAAGAAACAATTCAGTTTCCCCACTAAGTTTTTCGGAAAAATTGATGTCACGCGGCCTGAAGTTACGGAACAGACGAATTCAAGTTCCCTACTTAAGTTTACGGAAAAATTGATGTCACGCGGCCTGAAGTTACGGAACAGACGAATTCAAGTTCCCTACTTAAGTTTACGGAAAACTTTACGTCGCGTGACCTATCCACTTATTCAGTTTGCCCGCTAAATTTGGCGGGAAAATTTAGCGACGATATGATGATAGTCATCGACATATTGTCAAATAAGCAGTACACCTAGCGCTGTCTTAACACATCACGCCCCATGATCGTCTCTCATTATTTATTTTGTAAGATTAAAAAAATGGTAAAAAATATGTGCACTGTTCCCTATTGAAAATTGGTTCATGAGGCAAACTTGGGTTACTGAGATGTTTTGACGTACTGATCGAAAATGTTTGATGGGTTTGAAAGGTCCGCCAAAGATTTGTAAGGGAACTGGCGTACTTTTTAAGAATTCCTAAAGGTTGCAAGACACCTGTCTGAGCTCTCTGAGAAGCCTTGGGGTCTGTCCGAATCCTTTCCGTGAAACCACATACCCCATCAAAACCATTTAAGGGGGTCTGTGGGACAAATCACGTGATCCTTCACGATATAGGCGTGAGGAAAGCCGCTTGGTCATTTTGTGAGTTAAGTTGAAAAAAACGTATTTATTTCATGCCATGCATGGCTGCTCTTTCTTAGGGCGGCATCAGCGGCGGGGAGAGGCTAAAAGCCCCTACGCGCCCTACCGCGCCGCGTTCGCAAGCAACCAGGAAAAACACCTGGGCCTCGCATGCCGTGCACCAAGCTGCTTCTTAAATTGGATGTCACGCCTCATAGGAAGCAGGGACGACCCGGGGGCGGAAACCCGTTTCACAATGCAACGCTGCCGAACGCTGTCAAACGCTCACAACTGCAACCGTGCGATGGGCATATTAAAGAAAGTTCGCAGTCACCGATAACCAACGGGGCAAGAGGTCCGATGGTCCGTCGCCCGCGTAGGAGACGATGCAGATGTTCGGGGCGGCCGCGACGAGTTTTGAAAATTTAGGAGTTGCTGCCCCGTCCCTTTCTGTCGTGGCCCTGGCGAGGCATCAGCGTACAGGGAGACGGAGCGCACGAGAAAAACCTTTTTGGAAAGGAGGACCCTCATCTCTTCTTAAACGGTCCTAGTTTCCGCCCCTTACACTGTTTTTCTTCGCTAAGTTCTCGCTCACGATGGAGAGACGGTACGCGGAAAAAATCGGAGGGGGACGTTTTGCTATTCGTTTGTAGAAAACCTTTTTTAGAGCGCAGCTTCCTATTTTCGGGTTGAGCTACGCCGTCGGCGTTGCCGTCGGCGTCGGCGTAACCGCGCGCGTTGCATTATGGAAAATTGACGTCACACTACCTAAAAACCAAACAGTTTTCGCGCTAAATTTAGCGGCGAAGATGACGTCACATACTTTTTGTCAAGTCATCATGAACAGATTTAGCGTGAGGAGGAAAGGAGCAGGGGAGGAATTGGAGGAGGACTAGATAGGAAGAAGAGGAAGAATATAGGAGAGGATGAGGGAAGGAGGTAAGGAATACCCTCCCCTCCGTACAGTCCCTTCCTCCTTATCAACAGCTGCGCTCTAGTTTCGCGTTACAGAGCTTTGTAAAGGTCTTTCCTTTTTTATAGTCAGTCGAAATACAGCATTTGTCACCAGCATCTAGCCCCGTTTTTTCTCCGCAAACGAGTTTTTATGTGGTTTGATCGCTTTGACTACAGCTGCTTCGCCGCGGTTTGAGCAAACGTTTCTTCTTATCGTATTTTAAAGTTGCAACATGCATGTTAAAAATCAATGTCTGAATTAATTTTTATTAGCGCAAAGGTATACACACGAGGTCGTGCACCTCGACCGAAAGTCGCTATACGCACGACGCCGAATTTCTTGGGTCACGTATAAAATGAATTTCAAGACCGTTTGCATAAGCTATAGCGTGGTCTTGTGGTAAAGTGGCCGCTTCACACTCAGCTGACCCAGGATCAAATTCGCAAGGGGGCGGGCATACTTTTTCTTGTAAAACCTTTGGCAAAATTAACGATTTTTTTTATATTTATCACAGTAAAGAACAAATGTCGACAAAACGTCGCTGAACTACCCGGTATGGGGCTCCCTTTACGGAGGTGCAATGGGAGACAGCGGAGATTCAGCCACAGGCGGGGCGATCCGGACCAGTGTTTCCGGGTCAGGTGGCGTAAACGAGGGGTCGGGTGGGTTAGCACGCGTCCCAGTGATACACGCGCCGTCCCCTACTGCGCCTCTGAAAAGGGCGACCTAACTGGCATGAGCTCTCCGCTTCGTGCGTATCGCCCTTGCCGGTCGAGGTGCACCACGTCGTGAGTATAGAATCACCCTTTCATTAACGTTTTAAACAGTATTTTTCGTCAAGGCTTCACTGTCATTTAGCTGTCTAAATGGTTGAAGAGATGAGGGGGTCATAAATGCTGAAGGTTTTGACGGACTGAAGGTGTTTGAAGGTCTGACGGTCTGAAGGGCATTGTAGGGCTGAGGGGTTCAATGAACTAAAGGGACTTGAAGCGTTGATAGCGTCACCTAGCACATCATGACTGAAGTATTATTTTCAATAGGGTTGAACAGGTAAATTCGACGTTTCACTCCTATTGTTCATTGAACTATAGAGTAAAAAAGCACACACGCTGCCTTTTACCAATTCAGCCTACCTAACTCAATACTTGCACATAACTTCGCTCATATATAAACTCACAATGGGAATATTAGTACAATAAATTTTACTACAGAAAAATAAGTTCCACGCTGGAATTTTAAAATATAGCTTTTAGTAGTTCGACAAACGAAAGGCTTGCACACTGAAGTCGGCCACTCTGGAACCGCGAATTAGTGTGCCTTCGTCCTCTGATATCCTAAAACGTCAAATTTGAGGGTCCAAGTGCAAGAATGGACCGTTCAATTGACAAAAGATGAAGCCACATGAGAGACGAAGACACATTGGCCCTCTATGAACGGAAGGAGGATAGATATTTAGGCGCGCAAAATAACAAGTTTGTGCTAGTGAAGAATGTGTTTCTTTTGATCAAAGAATCGCCTGCACTGACCGAGTTATCCTTGTCGTAGATAAAATCGTGATGCTGGCCGATGCGCAACGCACCCTAGAAGAGCCAGGCATATCATTTTTTGTTTCTTTTGTTATTGTCTCCTTTTTGCAGTTTTGAATTGGCCGTTTTCTTAAGAACCGGCACTTCCCGTCATTTGTATTGGACAGTGTAATGGAAACTTAATTGTTTACATTAAATGAACATAAAGAATAATCACGCAGTCCTAGCTCTTCTTCCCGACCTAAGAAAAGCGTTCGATACAATTGATCACGGTTGTTATTAAATAAATTAACAAATATGGGCTTCAGTGGACCTTTTCTTCAGCTTTTATTTTTGAAAATTACTTCCATAACCGTACGAAACCTGTACGGAGAGGAGGAAGCATAAGTGAACCCTTGTCCGTTACTCCCGGCGCACCGCAGGGGTCTGTCTATCTTAGGTACTCTGATATTAACATTTATATAAATGACTTAGATAAATTGTCTCTAAATTCTCAGTTATACCAATATGCGGAAGACACTGCAATTTTATTGTCCCATAAAAATTACGAAGATGAAGTTTCCATTTTCCAAAGTGATATAAACAAGTTAGTAGACTGGTTTTCCTGGAATTAAACATTTATGAACAAAACCGAGGCCTACTAAATGTGCTTCCGGACACATAAAAAATAGAGTGAACCTTATGCGTCCTGTCTATCTGCATTCTACCGACTGTAATTCTTGCGACTGCTCTGCGGCAGTGTTACCAACCGTAGGGTAATTACCCTACTTGTAGGCTATTTTATGCATTTTTGGTACACTGTAGGGTTGTAGGGCCGTCCGGCCAGTTCCCTGCCAAAGGTATGGTAGTTTCGGACGTTGCTTCTTCAACGGCGAGCATAATAAAACCAGCAAAAACACAGTAAAAAAATAAATACCGCGCAAGTTTCGCATAGCTTTGCAACTCACACCACGACATCATGCAAAACAAAAGTATACAAGTTACAAGACGTGCTAAGAGAGAGCACCACACACCAAGTTGGAGTAGAGGGGTTTTAAGTTGGAGTAGGGTGCCTACATGTCTGTCTGTTCAGGATGAAGATATCCACGGTTGCCCTGAATGTGCCAGCGCATGACTCTCTGGCGCACTCGGTGCGTGACTTGAGCGGTAAAATGGCGTCTATGCCTTATCCAAAGTTACGCGCTCGAGCTGAGTGACACCAAATTATCGCGCACTTCAAAATGGATTTAAAAAAAACAATTGGGTCGAAAAATGGCTGAGATGTCACCACTCAAGCAAAACCGCGCGTGTGTATGAAGGCACTCTAAGTCGGAGCAGAGCCCAATATACGGCTCTGAGTTGGAGAGTATTGGAGAGCTGGAGCAAGTGGGAGAGCCGCGAGGAGTGGGAGTTGTGCAGAGGGAGATTGGAGCCAGAGGAGATATCTTCCCAGTGGACAGGTTCCCGCCAATTTTTCTCTGATGGCTCTGGTCCATCCGGCGGTCCTTCTTACACCTGCGAAACACGTAGCATTGCGGGCGGAACCATCCCGAGCCCACCAGAATGGTTGGACCACCTGTTCAACTGGGCTTTTCGACGCGCTGACGTAAGGTACCCATGCTGCAGACAGCCATAGCTGGACCTGGAACTACCACTTGTCCTGGGCGCTCTTCTGCTGTGGCGCGTTGCAATTAACTATTTCCTTACCACGCCCATAGAGCGTCGATCACCGATGATCGACGAGTACAGAGACCCATTTCAAAGCTCCCACGGAGCTTTGAAATCGACGAATACGGAATACGGAAGAGCCGCCAGTTTCCTATCCTCCCCTGGTGTAATGGCCTAGTTGGTCGCAATAGTACCTTAGTTTGACGAATACCTGGGCGGTACACCCAAAGAAGCTAATATACCGCTCGGATTGGCTTCCTTTTGTAATAAGCCGCCTTGTCTGTCGCCGCGAGTGCTGGTCCCACGTAGCCCAGCTAAACGTGTTGGTTGGGGATGTCTGTGCGCTCGCTACATCACTATTGTGCTGATGATACACAGCGCACATACAAGCATGGTGTTCTAGAATAACGCGGGTATGCGCGTGCATGCGTGCCCTGTCGCTTTGTACTGTATTACTATTACCCTGAATCATTATAACCCATGCAACAGTATTATTTGAACAAAGATTTGCGTCGTAGGATAAAATGTGGGGTAATAAGAAACATTCGCAGGGTAGTGTAGGGTTTTATGGATGCTGGCGCGGGGTATTTTCGAAAAATAGGTTGGCAACACTGCTCTCCGGTCGTATATGCGATCGAAACAAGATATTAGGAATAACTTTTGATGAGTGCCTAAGATGAAGTGCAGACGTCTAAATTTTAGTAAAGCGCCTACGAATGGTATTGGCGTTTATGTACAAACTAAGAAATCTCTATAATATTTCACATAGGAAAAGAGTGTACGAAGCACTGGGAGTCTCCGTCTTGCGTTACGGAATCACTGTTCACAATATGAAAACTGTTTTGCCCACCGGAAGAAAAAAATTAAATAGACTAATATATAGAATTGCAGATAGGGTTGCCTATCATTCGAAATTTGAAACACTTGATAGGGGTGCACAATTGTCCTCTCTACAAATATTGCAGGTAGAGGAATTAAGTGAATACGTTGTTTTAATGAAGTATCAATATACCAACGATTTCAAGTATTGTGTCAAGAGATAAAAACATGTGAGACATTCTGAAAACTTTTTTTATTTTTATGGTATACAGAAATTACGTGAAGCGTTTAAGAAAATATTATATTCCATTCTACTTTAATAAACTTCCGGAAGAATTGTTTGACTTGTAGTCTCTAAAAGACGCAAAACAGAAATCAAAGGAGTGGTGGTCTCGTCATGTTTAGGTGTATACATACTGTTCCTTTTTTGGTTTCCAATTTGCCTGTGTTAACAATGTATAGCTTGTTCTTGGCAAAAATGTTTGTGTCACCATTGTTGTATTTATTTTGAGCACTCTGTTGGGTTGCCACGGTCTCGCACACGAGCGCTCGCTCGCTTATGCGGGCCTTCGGTCAAAATTATGTACAAGATTTGCTCAATAAACAATTTATTATTAATATTATAAATTATTAAACCTACGAACGTCTTTCAACCTTTGGTTGGCTGTTATTGTGCCATGTTACAGGGCTTCAGGGGTTTTCGCTGATGATGACATCATGCTTGCTTGGAATCCCTTCACTCACGTCTCCGGGTTTGTGATCGACAGCATCTGCGTGTGCCTGGGAGTAAGGGTGATAATTACGGAGCACTCCCTATCGTGGAAAGATTTCTTGGAGACTCTCTCTACGCATCAAGTAAGAAAACCTAGGTCAAGCACATTTGACACTGCCGGGAAGGGGGGGGGGGGGAAGCGGAAACTGGAAAATCCAAGGCACTCACACCGGTATTGTCTCTGAAGGCGGGAGAAAAGAAGTTAGCAAATATAGCGCAATTATTTAGATGAGCGAAAGCTGTCAGAGTTAGTTCTTACACAAAAGCAATTAAAATAAAATTAACATTTTTTTGTTTGCCCGCGGAACTTGATTGCTTCGGGTCTTCCAGTGGATCACTTTTAGCCCCACCAGTGTTCGCAACGATAATGAATATAAAATTGTCTTTTTCAACAGTGAAACTAAAATTTTTATAACTTTTCACAATAATATCTATATTACATCAAAGTCTCTCTATTTCTATCTTTACGTTTCTCTCGAATTTCGTTGACCACATTCTGCTGGGCAAAACGTTAAGTCGTTGCTTACGTCAGAGCGACGTATCTGCGCTACGTCATTCTAAAATAACCGGCAGCATTCACAAACAAAGAAAAAACAAATTTCCATGGACTGCATCATGACAACATAAATATATAGTTGAACACTCGCCTTATTCCCAGATATCCGTGATTTTTGCCACTTCTGAAATGCTACGAGGGATTGTCAACGAAGCGAGAACGAACAACTATCCAGCAGTGAGCCTGAAGAAAATCATAGTCGGAGGGACGATGATCAGCGAATCGTTAGGAACAGAGATTTGCGAGTTCTTTGGTGTGAACTCGTTCGTAAACTTCTACGGTTTGACTGAAACCTTTGCTCTTATAAGCTGCACTCCTGCTGGAAAAATCCGCATGGATAACGTCGGCGTTCCTTGTGCTGGCACCAAAGTCCAAGTATGTATGATCAAAAGAAATTTCTCGCTCTACTATACCCTAAGCGTTTTTTATCACGCATTTTTTTTAAAGACACAGTTAGGCAAACAGCCTTTAGCAATCGATCCTCCTAGTTTCCGGAGACAAATAGGAACACCCTTATATCCATGCACCAACAGCCTTTAGTAGTGGATCCTCCTATTTTCTGGAGACAAATAGGAACACCCTTATATCCATGCACCAAAATACAGTCAGAAGATGCGCAATAATGAAAACAAGGCAAAAAGAAACGTATGTATGGCGTCTGAGACAAAAACAAAACTGGGTTTTCACAACGTAAGACTAATATTACCCTTAGCCGAAAGCCCAACATTTGCCTGATTTTTGCACTAACGATCGAGAACTGATTCGTAAGAATAAGATCTTATCGTTATCGAATTTAAAAGCTAAAACACTGTGCGTTTGTTTCTTCAAAATTCCCATGAGAAATTAAGGTCCGATCTCCGAATAAGAGTATACTCAATTCCATGTATTCGCAGGCTGCGTTGGCTGTTTTTTTTTGTTTTTTTTTCTATTGAAAATATTTTAATGGTATGTACACACAAGATTTTATTCTGGTAGATATAACTTTGGTATCTGATCCCGACTTTTTGCGCTGCATTTGGGTGGACACTGAACGTTCGGCAATGCGTAGGGCATCGCTGCCACCAAAGCAACTGGATTCTCTCTCCTCCCACACACGCGATAGTCTAGAAGTTCTTTACTTGATTACTTTTCTTTCAGATGCAAACAGAGACGAGCAAAGCATAACCAAAAGATGTCTCGCCCTTCCTTTGTTCTTTTCTCTACTTTCCGTAATTGAATCTTTCGGCCTAGCGCCACCAAGTAAGCGACGTTAAGAGAATATCGACTCTGCATTCTTGGTAGTCTTGTGGGCGTTGCCATCTTGTGTAAGAGTACAGAGCAGGCGAAATGGGCAGTATGCAAAATAGCAGAGGCCCTAGCGGTTCAGGTGCACTCTGGGAACAAGAGACTGTCAACAGGTAGTATCGTTTCGGTTTCGCTAGGTTGTGTATCTGTCGTCTGCTATCGTCTCCACACCATCATTGCTCACGTTGTCGTGGATTGCTCCACACTTACGCGCGATGCAGTAAGTACGCTTTTCTTCCAATCCCTAGATATCAGACAAGGCGAATAACGAAACAATTACGATTTTTCTGGGACCGGGAGTGAGCAAAAACGCCGCAACGGAAAAGTCAAGTGAACGCAGAACCACGTACGCCGAACGCGCTACCAGCTCGCAGCGTCCATCGATTTGCAACCTGGAGAATGGTCACTCAGACTAGTACTCCAGATTTATAGCACCCTTGCTTTGCCGATCGTTATTTTAAATCAAGCCAACACGGTACGCGACGAACCTTCTTGTACGAGAATCCGTTCAAGGGCAAACATGCACCTCTTGCTACGTATCTTTGAAAAAAATTTTGCCTACGTAATGAGCAAAACACAATAGGAGTTTTGATGTGCCCATATCGTTCAATGTAAAGTTCGCCTAGGTTTACGTCTTTTAGCCCTAACACATTGTGTTTTATGAAGTATGCGGTTATCGACTAGTTTCTCGGCAGCTGTTTCCCGTCCTGCAGGATGAGAGCTTTTGTTCAGTGATACCTCGGAAAAGTGCGACTGCGATCCTAACGAGTGTGAGGTTGCATCACTGGAAACAGGTGCCGATAAACTATCTGATAATCGCAAACTTAATGGAACACGAAGTGTTGGGGCTAAAAGGCGTATGCCCAAGAAACCTGCACATTCAACTGTATCGTCACACCAACACAACGACTTTGTTTTTGTCATTCCCGTGGCCTCTTTCCTCACAGCGACTCATCAAGAGGTGCATGTTGGCGCTTCAACAAATTCTCGTGCAGCGAGGTTCAACAAGTACCGCGTTAGCCTGGTCAAACATAGCCTTGGTAATCAGATCAGCTGAGCAAAAAAAAAAAAAAAGAAACACGAGAGCAGAGAGAAAAAGACTGCACAATCGCTACGGCGACTAACAACTGACTTTCATTTTATCCTCTTTCCCCCCGAACCTAGGCATTTTCTTCCTACGGCACATTAAACACGAGACAAACACATTTTGCTTAATACTCAACGATGTGTGGCAATCCGGAGATATAATAATTATTATCATTTTTATTTGCTCTTGAAAGCCGCGACATCGCAGAAAGGCAACAGCCAGTACCATAGAGGCTCGCGGTGCCGCGTCCAGTGTCGCTCTTTTTTGTGAACCGTAATCGATGAGGTACGCAATCTTCTGCGCTTTCTTCAATGTCCAAGGCCTCCAACACTTTACGTGCGAAGGAGTTTTTGTTACTCTGAAGAACGGTTATGCTTGTGAGCTCTGCCCACCAGCATTGAAGATTTATCTTCTGAAACACGTGTTCCATATAGCTCCTTTAAAATAAGTTTTGTTGTGTTATTTCAGTGTAGATTTAAGTCTCATTACCGGAGGCACTTCTAATTGAGTTGAACTATTGGTTAGGGCTTAAAGTCGGTTGACGCAACATCGCAGCACTCTATCAGTAGTATAGATGGCGTTGATGCAGAGCTCACTTGAACTTAAACTAGTATTGATGCAGCCCATTCTCAGTGATGCATCTTTATCATTGTGCGCAGACCGCGCTGCGCCAACAAGATAAGCAGTATTTCCAGGGCTGACTAACAGCACTGATGTGCTGTGGTGATGAATGAGTGAACATGCTTTTATCAAGAGGCCAAACAAAAATTCATCATATTCAAAACTTTTTTTTAACGCTCAGCGACACAAAATAAAGGAACTGGCTGTGCCTCCGCCTTTGATATAAGGCCAAGTATGTGAAAAGCCTGAAGGACATGCGATCTCTCGTTAGGTTATTTGTTTATCTTGTAAGGTCATCTTCCACGACGAACCGCGATCTGCACTGACAGAGTGGTGTCGGATGGTGCCACACGTCTACATGGCAAGAGAAATATGAGTTTGGTTCGAGTGGAGTGGTATTATTAGTGCTCTCATTATACTATAATTGCAAGTAAACTTGATACATTTACTTGTTTATCTGCTCTTCACAAGCAAAGAAAAAAAACTTGGCTTGTATATTTCCTTTTCCGTATCCGTGTTTGAAGTGGCTCATGATCATAAAACATGAACCACCTCATGAACCATTCACGACCTAAACATTCCAGTCACCATAAATTATACAACATTCATTTCTTGCGAATTATGACATGTTATTTTGCTGGTCCTTACCAGCGCATCTGGTAAAAACGACCTGTTTCTTTCAAAATCTGTGGAGAGAGGCATCCATGTTACTGCTAAGATTTGTCAAACATCAAACTGGAAACACCTGGCGTATGTAATGCCCAGGAGGTCCCTCCTTTGCTTGCAAATTTGGGTCTCCTGCATTGTTCATTTTGTTTCATACATCTAATGAGTTGTCGCCTGAACGCATATTCAGTATAATCAAAATCACTACCTAGATCCTCGACCTCTTCAACGGAGATCCTCTCGGCCCCTATCAAAAAGGCGAGCTTGTGGTTCAGAGCAAAACCCTTATGAAGGGCTACTACGGTCGTCCGGAAGCCACTCAAGAAGTCCTGAGCAGTGATGGCTGGCTTCGCACGGGTAAGATTGGGGAAGGTCTTTGTAATACTCAAATCTAAATTTATCCAATGGGCCTAACCTAGGCCGTGATGTGTCCCAAGTGCGAGTGCGCATGGTGGTCTAGCATTTGTGAATCAGTCGCCTCCTATAATCCCATGTTAGTTGAGTAGTGCGTTTACAAATATCTTTTTTTCTATTTTTGAACCTTTTGAGTGTAAGATACCATGCTATTTCGATACGCTCAGAGTATGTACAAAACGTAGTATTCGTCTATTGTTCCTCAACTAATATACAAGGCGGCATTATAATTGAACCATATGTCTGCAGTACGAGCGGAGTTTGTGCGTAATAGGCTCTCTCGATTAACCTGCACCTCCTGCCTCGTTGCAGAAACACGTAGGGCAGTGTACCCCAGTTATGTGTACTGATATACTACCGGAAGTACATAGCCCTATGCATTTCTGCTCCTGTGCAAGAGGGGCAAGTGAATGGAAGGAGCACATTTCCTCACATAGAATTGAACCCATCTAGAACGCGGAGTTTTTTAGGCAATTATTTTCGGCAAATAAATGTGTTATTGTAGTAATGTTTTACATTGGATAATTATAAAAGTGAAGAGATGTGGCGTTGAAGGTGACAAAGAGGGACATGTGAGAAATGGTTAGGAAAATAGAAACGAACTCATCAGTACGAGGAAACAGAATACGTTGGAACTTTAAACGTCAAGCCAACCATTTCTTGATAATTGTCGATGAAGAAAAACGTCGTACCAAATTTGATCGTACTTCGAGGTTACGACATGATTATTTTATTTTTGCTCCCCGGCATCATTTCGTTCGTACTCGATATGCATGCGACCGATGACTGGAACATTTCAGTCATTTCAGAAATTTCGACAAAAATCAATTGTAGAATGTCCAGTTGTAATTGCCAAATAACCTGTGAAGTAACGGTGAAGGATAGATCATTTTGAATTAAGTGCCTTAAAAAAAATTTTGTCATCTTTTCAACAATTTTTTTCCTGCAGCAATCTAAGAACAAAGGCTAATAATTGTTTGACATTTAAACCTATAAATTTAACCTTCTTTTTAATTTGCAAAATAAACGTGAAATAAAGCATGCGAAGATTTTGAACAATATAAAATTAAAAAAAGAAAAACTTGAAACGTTAAGGCAGGATGGTTACAGGGTATGCAGACCTACACAGTAGAAAAGGTAGATGTTCAATATATCAAGAAATATCTGAAAACCATTAATAGCAATTTCTAATTAAGAAAATTATATAGTACGAGAAACATATTTATAAAGAAAAAAGACTAACGCTACGACGGAAACAATTCAAATGTCGGACGGAGCTAGGAATATAATTATATTTGAGAATGTCCCTGCATTGAAACTGGTGATTACGTTTCTCAAGTAACTGCTTTTAGCCACGACAATCATTCATTGCACTTAGAAAATTGTTGCAACCTATGCACTTCCTCACAGGGGATCTTGGGTACTATGACAGTAATGGACAGATCTACATCGTAGATCGGCTCAAGCAGATGATAAAATGTATGGGGAACATTGTAACTCCTGCCGAGTTGGAAGAAATCTTGACCACGCACGAGGCGGTTCTGGAAGCCGCTGTGGTCGGCATACCCAGTTCGAAGTACGGGGAGGCTCCCGTCGCTTGTGTCGTTGTCAAGGGATCCCAGGAAGAATGCCTAGACAGTCTGGAACAAGAACTGAAAGAACTCGTAGCAGGTAGGCTTTCGATTTTCTTCGTGTAGCCGATCCACGCAACAAATATTTGTTTATAGTAATACGCATTTCTATCCGGAAGGAAGCGTTAGTTTGAGCTGCTTGGACATGGAGGCTAACAAATATGATCAGATTATCATAGAAACAAACTTATTGGAAACATGCCTTATCTTCGGAAAAAATGTAAAAACTCAAGCTAGACTACAATTAAAACAACATAGTATTAACTTGGCAGCTATAAATGAGAACGCCGTTTTTTGGCTTTCGGCGGGTTCCTGAAAACTTGCATTCTTTGATTCATTGGATTAAGTACGGTTCATTCATCTGCACATATTTGTTTATATCCTCCTCGGAGACCACGTACGATGGTGTGAAGTGCCCGTGTTGTATATTCAATAACGTGGCTCTTGATTCTCGCAGATGATGATGATACCGTGTCTCTAAAGCTCATAAACAAAGAATACTACATGTACACGGGACGAGACAAACAGTGGGAGGATTTCTGGAGCACAAACGAGCAGGTACCACGTGACACTAAGCGTCGTACCGCGTTCCACGCGGCGGCGTGTCTTTCCAGCACACCTCCGATTGGATACATTTCGTTTCTGGTGCATTAATAAGACAGATAGGAAACGCCAGAAAGCCAAGGTGGAGTGGTGTAGAGGTTAGCACACCCGACCGGACATTGGGAGGCCCAGAGTTCAAATCCTGGCTCCGCCGTTTTTTGGCTTTCTGCGGGTTCCTGAAAACTTACATTCTTTGATGGATTGGATTAAGTACAGTTCATTCATCTGCACATATTTGTTTATATCCTCTTCGGAGACCACGTATGATGGTGTGAAGTGCCCGTGTTGTATATATATATATATGAAAGTTAAGTGTTTAATTATAAACGGTTTCGCTTTATAGATGTCAAATTCGAATATAATGTAATAATTAGCGAAATAATAAGTGTGTCCCACTCCACGGCACTTGCTTCCGTCTCCTTTTAACAACTTTAAGCTATTGTATCACATGTGCGTGTTTATCACACCCAAACACCGCGAACCCACAAGGTGCATATAAATAAAAAATATTGTCACGAATGACGATTGATGAGGCGATAATCATCATTTATTTTTCCTTGAGGGCCCGTGGGGCATTATACAACGGGTTGGCAATAGAACAAAAACAAATAGAACAGTAGACACAAATAACTGAAGAAACTAAATGTTTAATGGGGCGAACTTGTGCCCAAAATTAAAAAGGGAACAGAAGAAAGCAGAGCGTCGCGGGCCTCGAAGTCGGCGTGACAGCAGAGTCGAACGCTGGGGTGAAACGGACTCCGGCTCGCCACCCGGAGCCTTTTTTTGTACACGCGTTGGCTTCTGGAATATTCGGCGTAGAAGGTTCGGTGCGGAGAACAATTTAACCTCGAATCATCAAGACGGTTCTCGAATTTACCAGAACATCACAGCGTCAACAAAAATGCGTAGACGCTGCCAGGAATCTAAACCTAGCCCTTTGAGTGGAAGACAAGCGCGATAACCGTTATGCCACGGGCGCTGCCTACTTGGTCAGCTGCGCCAGCGGGAATATACCAGAACGCTAACACAACAATCCCGCCAAGCTTTCCTTTCCCTCCCCAATCATAAACTATGAGAATAAGTAATATATCGGCCTCGAGTTTTTTTACATTCAACGTGAGTTAGACATCGTCTCTTACTTCGATGGTGCCTAGGAGGGCGGCAAAGTTCACTCAAGATTTGTCAGCTTCTAGAATAGAAGGCGCACGGGCTCTTTTTTAAGGGTTGATTTTGTGTTTATATAACATGAGACGTAAGAATAAAATACTCATGAACAAACGATATACATAAAGAAAAGCTATTTGTTATTACTGGGCACCCGTTTTCTGGGGCACATATTTTAGCCGAACGTTATTTCACAATCCTTGATGTCGTGGTGTTACTGTGTTATTCGCAGGTCAAACATCGACCCACAAGCACCTGTACGGCGGCGTGGTTTTTATGAATTCTCTACCAAAATCTGAAAGCGGAAAAATTCTGAGGCAGGAGCTGAAATCAAGGATAAGTTCCGGGAATGACTAGTGTTACTAAGCAAAAAGCCAGCAAGGTTTTTTTTTATCACATTTTGACATAATAATCGAGAGAAAATAAAGGAACAAAAAAATTCTTCGTCTCTAGCAAAGTCAATTTCTTGGAGGATGTTCCAGATCGCTCAAAGGTCAATAAAGATTTTTTTTATTTAGATCATTAGCTTTACCTTTATGTTCCAGTAAATATACTAATTAAGGTGTGGGGTTTTTGTGTACATCTCGGCCTCAATTTTACATGGAACGACTGGCTGGAATGTATACAGACACCGTCCACCTCGCATTCGCCCGTGACCAAGAGAATGCCAAAACGTCGAAATTTTTGTTTCTATCTTGTATATGAAGAATACCAGAATATAATAAAATAAGCCATCAAAACACAAACTATGAAATAGTTTACTGTATTTAGACTGCATTATTAGTGGTATGACACATTACAGTGATCAGGAGGTTCCTTACAAAGCGACCTGAAAATGGCATATACAATAGACATGCACGATTCCCAGGAAGCTGTTTCCAAGGGCAATGATTTAATTCAGTTGATACGGGAAAAAATGAATGCAATCAAGAGTTTTCTCATGAAAATACCTGTCTCGCATTTTAAACAAACTTCCGAACTTACATCCTTCAATAGGAAAGAAAACCAAATACAAGAAAAGGCTAATCTCGAAACAAACCAAAGAAACGTTAATGTTTAAGCAGCATAAGGTCGGTGTACCGTGAGGTGTGGCAACAATACTTTATACATTAGATTTTACGTTGTTCCCGTGCCTTACAGTAGAGGTACACAAAAGTACTCCCGCATGCTTCTCATTTAGATATAATCAGGCATGGGTGCAGCTTAAACCAAGTATATATAGGCTCTCCAGTCCGAACTTTCGCTCCACATGCTCCGACTTTAGGTGAACTAACAGGCTTGTCCCTGTCAATCCCCCAAAAAGCCTGAATTTATGATGTGTGAACATTAGTATGACATTGTTTCCCACAATTGTGCCAAATCAAACGGGACGTGCTGCCATTAAGGCAAAAAGAAAGATTAAAAAAAAATCACTCGGCTGAGTGTTAAATAAATGCTTGCACATTGCATTTACTACGTGGCTTGACTGTCTAGGGATGTCCAGAGGTAGAGCTGCCGTCTGATGCGCGACCGGTGGTCTTGAACAGCTACCTCATTTTTATATGGATTTGCACCAGACTTGCTGCTCCGCTTTGTATGTGTCTGGCGGTGAGTGGTATCTTCTGCCCTTGCGTAGGATGGCCACCTTGTAATGCACGAAAGCACGGCGTCCACTCGTTTTGGTTAATGGTCTGAAAAAACAAATATACTGTGAGGTACACAGCATGAAAAACTATACTCGAAAAATTAGGCTCCAGGAGCTTTAAATTTAACAGTGACGTTTTCAATCATATTCACCGGTTTCACATTTACTAACGTGTGCCTGATATGCGTTTTACTGCAGGTTACCACTTCGTTGGAGGGAGTCACCCTCCAGCGTTTTTCTGCTTTCCAACATTGCTGGAAAAACTTCAAACGATCATCCTTATTTAGTATTAGTCTTCTGTAGGCGTTATGGTTTAATGCTGCGTTCCAAAATAAATACTGTAACAAGAAGAACATTTAGGTCCTCCAATAGCGCGCATCTGCTTACTGTAGGCGAATGCCACAAGATGTGTTCGCTCAGCGCTCCAGCATTTTCTCGTATAAAACGTGATCCTCTTTGGGGTGAAGTGGATGAGGAGACCATGAAAATACTCCAGCCAAAGATCTGCCCCAATTGGTAAAGGAAACAGGAAGTCCCGCAAAATGTCATATGACATCAGGATGACCTCAGACTATTTGAAAGTATCTGTGTAGAATTAAGATGCAATCGGTATTTACCACTAAAAAATTCAATAGATGATTTAAAAGAACCCTCCTTCCTGACGCCAGAGCGATCACTGGTGTCTTTATTGACATAGATCGGTTGGAGGGAGTTGGGGTGGTGGCGGATGTTAATAATATGACGCAGCAGGCATTTCCATTTGGCTAGTAAAAGCTGATTATGCTCATTGCTAGAGAATGTGAAGAATCCCTATTGGAAGAAGACGGAACAAAATGACGTAGGCACCGTCTCGAACTAAGCTGAGTTTGGTACGTAGCCCTCTGTCACTCTTCTACTATGAATTTTTTTATCTCAACCAGTCCTTTGTTGGCTGTGCGATATATTCTGTTTAATCATGAAAGCTTTGAAGCTTCACAGTGTAGCAACTATTTTTCCGCGAAGCTTTGTGGCATCTTACTAGCCGTTGAACAGAAACTGGAAAACAATCTAAGGAATGCTATCCTCTTTGCCAATTCACAAAATGTGTTATTCGCCTTTTCTTTACGACTTCCTACATAGAATCTTCTTACGCAACGTGTATGAGGTAAATTAAATTAAGCTCTTCAACTTGAATGTGGTATATAACTCTGTTGGGATTCCACGCAATCAGGAAGCAGATCTATTGGCTGCACCTATCAAGCAGTCACTATAGGCGGTAACGTGTTAATTTGTAGAAAGAGCTCCTCCTACCTATTTTCACTTTAGCTAAGAACTGCTGGAGAATATGCGACTTTTTTTATCACTCGTTCTGCTGAAGTGAAAAGGGGCTGGAGGCAGTGTTGCACACGTTCCTAAAAAGGAAGGACCAAAACTCGCTCCTCGTTCCTTCAGATTTTCGGAACGCTTTCCTGTTACAAGTTCCATATGTGAACAAGGTACCTGTTCTCGTTACAGCTAAAAAAATAGAACTTATCGTTACATTCACGTGACATTTGTATTTTGTTAATTACCACACTCAGTTATATCGAGGAAGGTTTACTTTCTTTTTATCTATTCCATCCAGTGGGAGCATTTGCATTTGAATGCAGTGATGGAAGGGCACCAGGAGAACAAAACAAGCGGAAGCAGGACAACGAAATTAATCCCTGGAGAAAGGAAACAAGAGGGACAAAGGAAAAACACAAATCTCCAAACAAAGCTAGGTGACTACTGCGCGACCGTTTCATTTGTCGATATATTCACCTTTAAAAATGTTAGCTTTTAACCATATTCATGTTTGTGTTTGGCGATTTAGGCGAGCCAAATATCCTGTTACCCCACATAGCACGAGCGTTTTACAACAACATCACACGTTTCAATCTAACAAAGTCCCTTATTCGAACTTAACAACAGTTGCTTCTCAATGTTGCTGTCCGCAAGACCGGCAAGTGAAGAAGAGGGTAGGCCTTTTGGAAGGTCAGTACTGAAACTTACAAGTCCTTCTTCGTGAAGGTTGGATTCCTTGTTCAGTTTGAAGGTGGGGGACAAGGGGAGAAGGAATGAAGGTTAATTTTTGTGTCTCTTTTAAGTAACCAATGTTCGGAATACAAGGGCGAGTTCGATGTCTGGTGACCTTTTCTTTTGTTGTAAGTGTAAGGCCCTTTGTGGAAGTTCAGTGATGGCTGTAGTAGGCCTTGGATTTCCGGGTGTATGAGGATTCACGGAAGCAAAGAGAGTAGCTGAGTTTAAAACGTCCCTCTCTCTGTGCCTTTCCTTCGACTAAAATATTTGCTTTTTGTACTGTAGTCTCGGGTACTGAAAAAAAATCGATGTCCACTAGCTCTCCTGCACCCGACTCAAATTACTAACTACTTTCAAAATCTAGTGCTAATTTTGCTCACCACAAAAAGTTTGAGCGCAGAAATAAGTAAGACGCCGGCAGCTGAAGTGACGAGCAAAGGGCCCCCCCACATTCCGTTCCCACAGGCGTCCTTGGGCCAAGGTGGCGACAAGCAGCCAAAACGTAACACTCGCGTGCACGAACGCAGGAACAGATACTTAACACGCCTTCGTCGGGTATTGACCTAAACCGGTAATGCACGCAAGCGCCGCGCCTCCAACTGCAACCGTGAAAGTCGGGGACACACCGAAGGTTGTTGTTGTTTTCATGTTGTCTGCCTTTAGTGAGCTCTGACTCAAGCGATTCGGGGTTCCACGAACAGGGGCCACTGGAATGACCTCGCAGCTTGGCGCCTGTTACCATGGTCGCCTCGTCGTCAGCTCATACTCCCTTGCCCAAAGCCGAACTCCCCCACCCACAAACGCAGACACGGATAATCCGTTCATGGGAGCACCTTCCCGCTTCAAGCTACAACTGTACGAGCGACGGTGATTGTTCACATCCTTCGCGTCCTTCCGACCTTCTACGCCGGGGAAAACGTCCTCTTTGTTGAAAACGATTTTCTTGTCAGGCGTGTCAGGCTACCACAAAAATACAAAAAGTAATTTCGAAAGTAACTTCAAAGAAACTCACTACTTTTTACAGTAGTTAGTAGTTTACTCAATTACTATTACAAATGCGTAATTTCTACTCTACTCAATTTACTTTTGGCGTCACTACTCAGTAACTTAACTTAACTACCTTTTTTGGGTAATTTGTACATGTCTGTATCGAGGGGAATATTTCTTTAAGACAATAAGCAGCTCTACCTTCCTTACGTCAAACAGCCTAATGATGCTGTCTGCTTCCCAATGATCAATGTGACCTATGCATGCAACTTGGACGAAACGGCTGCAGAAGGGAACCACTCATGTGGATATCTCCAAGTAGTGAGGTGCATGTGGCCGCGGCATCTGGCACAGATGGCCGATTCGGACCACTGAAGTCCTGGGAAAACATTGGAATAAAACATGAAACCGGGAAAGCTAATTCAGCTAAAAGGTTTTGGGTACAACTTTGGGACTCATATCGAGGGGAATATTTTTTTTCAGGCAATAAGCAGCTCTACCTTCCTTCCGTCAGACAGCCTAATGATAACTTGCAATGGGAAGGAGCTGAGCTAGTTGGTTGTACATACTTAGATTGTGAAAACCAGCTGAACTTACAGAAAAGGGTGAGGAGAGAAAGGAGAAAAGGCATCCGATAGCTGGACTACCAACTATTTATTAACCCTCGGCTTCTTCTTCTACTGGTCTGGTGGCTGTCCTTTTTACG